ATCAACTGTCCCAAGACAAAGCCAGTCAGTTGCACAAGCACCTATGTCACGAGTTTTGCCTGTCAGCAGCTAGAGGTGCAGGGCCCCAGAACCCAGAAGCCCTGCACCGATCTTGACAGCTGGCAGGCTTTGTGGCTTCAGCAGCAGCTAGCAGGCCTGCAGCTTTCACCCTGCTGTGCCTTAACACACACAGTGTCACCCATGTCACGAGTTTTGCTTGTCCGCAGCTTGAGGTGCAGTTCCCCCAAAACCCCTGCAGTGGCAGGGCCCCTGCAGTGCCAGTGGCCACTGCAGTGGCACTCACGAGGTGCCACTCACGAGGTGCCACTGCCCCTGCCGTTTTCACCCCCGTGGCGTAACACATACACGTGACATAAGTTTTGCTTTCAAGAATTTGGGGTGCAGTTTCCCCCCGAACCCCTGTATCTATCTTCTTGAAACTTGGCAGGCTTCGTGGACTCAGCAGAGGCTAGCACCCCTGCAGTTTTCACCCCTCTGTGGTGTAACATACACGTGACATGAGTTTTGCTTTCAAGAATTTAGGGGGCAGTTTCCCCCAAACTCCTGCACCGATCTTCTTGAAACTTGGCAGGATTCATGGTCTCAGCAGAGGCTAGCACTCCTGCAAGTTTCATCCAAATCAGGCAAAAAACAACAAAGTTATAGATATTTAATTGATTCCCCATTATACCCTATGGCCAGATCTCCGAAGCAGCTCCGAAGCGGTTTGGAAGGTCTGAACTGCTTCAGAAAGCCTAAAGAAGCCAGCGCTTCAATCCAGACATGCTGCTTCAGATGCCGAAGCGTCCAAAGCTTCTCAGGATCCAAAGCAGAGTCCGAAGCCTCGCACAGCTCTACTAAATATTCAGGATTTAATGGTTAGTTAAGATACTTTGCTCTGTAGCACATAATGGGCAGGGAAAAAGCAGAGCCCTTTACCTGATTTCTTTTTCCTACCCTACCATTCACTGCCCCACTTCCTCATTCAAATGTAGACACTCTCCCACATACCATCAAAGGGTGATTTCTGGAGCTTGCACAACCTGGTACTGGAGCCCCAAGTGCCCAGAATTTAAATATGGAGAATGAGGATTGAGAGAGACACTTTGCAGTTTCATTTTTGGAATCTGCCAGTCCACACCCCTGATAGCTTCCTCTGGTTTACCTGTCTCCTTGATGCTGAAGTCTGTCCACAGTCCCATAAGCCATGTCCCAGATGCTTCAGACACATTTTTGAAGGTTTGACACCCATTACTGGGACAGAGGTCAATTCCTCTTTAGCCGCATAAATAAGGACCAGGTTTACTAAAGAGCTGGGAAACAAGCATGTCCCACATGGGCAGCACTCAGTATCTTGCCTCTCATACTCCTGATTAGAAAGAAGCTGTTTCTTATTCAATACCACCCTAGCACCCTGTTCCCTCCATGATGCCAGGGAGAGACAACCAACCCACCAGCTCTTGATTTTTGAATGTGATGAGCAAGGACCAGGGAGAGAGTGGATCTGCATCACCATACCTCAGCCTGCATAAAATATTGACTCTGTGCAAGTACACCCCTTTTCAAGGCCCAGCTGCAAAAGGGTTGAGAAGATAGCTGGCAGGTGTATGTTCAAAACATCTCTTTTAGACTTCAGGGACAGAATTTTGTTTTCCTCTCTGCACCTACATAGCAGTTTTCTAGTTGTTTAAGTGATGTTTTCAGCTCTGCCTCTGCAATGTGGATGTGTAAGCATGTGCATGTAGACTGAGCATCATCAGTCACTTACGTGCAGTCTGGGTTTATATCTGAGCATAATTTCCAGGAGGGAAGAAGGCCCTCCCATGTTTTAGCCCCAGTAGCTGTGTGGTATGGGCACCTGCCTAGAAAGCAGGTGACCTCAGTTTTGGGTGCTCCCTTGCCCAGGGATAATTTGAACCTGTATCTCTCTAGTTTCCCAGCACCATACTCTCTCTGCAATACCATAGGTCAGGCATTAGCCTAGTCCTTCTCCATCATTCCTTTTGAAACTGAGCCAGTGCCCCCTGCAATTAATAAAATGGATGGGGAGCACTGTAGTGCAGCAATGCTTTAGACTGCAACCCAGGGCCTGCTCCCTTCCAAGGCAGCATCTTTATCACTGAGCCACACACCCTCAACCCTGTACACTCCCTCCTGGCTTCACGTCTCCCGCTCCTGGTCACCCATCAGGTCGCCATCAAAAGGAGCACTGGAGAGGGGACTAAATGATGTTTTACTTATGGTGTTGTGATTATAGCAACCTGCTGGGAAGTCAAAGAGATACAGGTTTAAAACTCCTCTAGACAAGGGTGTCCCAGACCCAAGCCTCTTGCTTTCTAGGCAAGTTCCCTAACCATTCAGCTACCATGACTAAAACATGGGAGGATCCTGGTCTTCCTACACCAGCACACTGCCTATTATATACACTTACTCAACACCCATACACTTGTATGTCCACACTACAGGATAATAGAATAACAACCCGGGTGCAAGTGCCAAAAATGCCACTTATGTGGCTAGAAAGCTGCCATTTTAGATGCATACAGGGAAATAGAAATGCATCCCAAGTGACTACCCTAAGGCAAAACTTTGCTTCCTGTAACTGTTCTGCGTCTTGTTGCTTAGATAGATTCCTGCTCTAGGCCTCAGCCTTTGCCCAGTCTCATCCTCCTGCTTCCTCTCACATGTATGGTTCTAGTGTAGATCAGCCATTTCTGAGCTCAGCTTGCAATCTGGAATTTTGCTTTTGCTCAGACCTCAGTTGTCAGTCCTGTCCTAACCACTGCCCGTCCCCAGCCCCTGACAATAGTTTGTCTTTCAAAGAGCAGTTAAAAAAAGGAGGATACAAAGCACTGGAATAGAGGAATAGGACTCAGACCTAGCAGGGGTGCATGCTCCAAAGGGATGGGAGGAGCTCTGCTATGGAGACCTGTGCCACCACACAGGCTGCCTGCCTCCTCTCACTCAGAAACGAGAATATTGATTAGAGTTGCTAAATGTCCCTGTGAAAATGAACAGTAATCGATGGTATGCCATTCAGGCCCCCAAGACAATACTATCTAATCAAACAGACCTAGGGGAAAACAGCATCTTATGGGCTATAAAACAGTCAGAGACCTAATCCCCCATACAATACAGAGCTGACACTGCCACAGCAACAGCCCCTTTGGCTCTTCCTCCCTCTCCTCATGCCCTTCCACTTGAACGCTTGGCTGCTGACAGATCCTAATGACTTAAGAGTCAGATCTGGTCTCTCACTGTCTAAATCAAGGTTAACTACTCTGTTAGTACATCTGGATCAACATTACTCTGGATGCATTTTTGCTGAAGGGGAGCCAACTGCAGGAGAACAGGCTCCACCATACTGCACCATACTCCACCATACTGCAGGAGAACAGGCTCTTACAACACTGAATACCACTGAATGTTGGCATGTTGGGTAAAAATCTGGTCCCAGTGAAGTCAATTGGAATTTGCCACCGACATCAATAGGGCCTGAAATTCACTCCTTATTTCCATCCTGAACATGACAAGTGAGACCACATGACTCCTCCATCCTTTAGCCTAGGCTCTTAGGAAGAAAAGTTCTGATTTTCAGAGGTGTTGAACATACACAGATCCTGTTGCTCAACCCCTTTGAAATCCATGCATGAGGATGTCAGGATGGGAGTATCCCAAACACCATCCACATACAGATTCACTGGATACTTCTAAAGGTATTGGCCCTCCCTGACTTTTACAGGCCACTCCAACTTAAAATGTTACTTGAAAAATAGCAGCGGTCCCTAGAATCAGAGCCAAATTGTACTCCCACTCTGCCAAAGTTATTGAACTTTATGCTGGAGTAACAGAGGGAAGAATTTGGCCAACATACATCTAAGCCTCCTTCCAACCCCTTTTCCCCAACAGAAATCTATAATATCTGGGGTTAGCCCACCTTTGCCCCCAAAAGACACCCTTTTACCTGCTCAAGACATATTTTAAATGCCCAAGTCCTTTGATATAGTAATTCCAGCACAGTGGAAATAAGGTTTGCAACTCACTGAAGACTGAGAAGACAGGATCCTGGAACCAACAAGGTAGCCCATGGTCTTAAGTGTGATCCAGATGGTCTTCTTTGGGAAGAAACTTGGTTGCCTTGCTATTTGTTCTCCATACAGCCCCCACTGAGTCTAAGCATTACAGCATGATAAATATTCCACTTCCCCTGTGCAAGTCAAACCATCTCTCTTAATAACAAGACTGCAGAGCAATATTCTTAGATTCTCCCAGAACAGCTCCTACAGTACTCATACCATTATCACACATCAGCACCACTTATGATGCATCTCCTTTCTTCCAAGATGAACCCAGCTGAGGAAGTTGTTAATGGGAGTCTACACGTGCCCTGGCATGTCTCCAAAACTTCTGGGCCTGGAATGAGGGCCTCAGTCAACCAGCCCTTCCTTCTTTCCATCTACTAGGGATAGAAAAGGAAGGTGATCCTTCCATTTGTGGAGTGGCAGCCACCCATACTGTATGCTGGGCACCTCTCCATCATGGATCGGGTGGGGGAAGTTTGTAGATGGCATCCCTGCTATGTGCTTGAGCAAATCAAACCAGAAGTGGCTTGGCCCCTCCAAAGCTGCTTTTAGCCATGCGGAGCCTCAGACATATGGAGAATTCACTTTTCCCCCAAGGGGATAATGCAGAGCTTTTCCCCAGAGCCAACTTTCTCCCTCCTCCCCACCTTTGTGTAGTCAGGAGTCAAAGTTCCATCCCCCGACCTCAGCCCCCAATACCCCACACAGACTGGAGAGAAGTGAACAGCATTTCTTCCCCATCCTTCCTCAGAGCAAATTACAGTTTAGCAGGCCATCAGATAGTTGCAGGCAGGGGGAAGTGCCTGGCTCCTCCAGTCCTCACGTTATTGCACATGAGCTCTGCTTGTGTCACACATCCCTTCTAGGACAGAGAGATAAGGAGAGAACAAATCCAAAAGAAAACCAGGAGTTGGGAGGGGGAAGAGCAAAAGACAAGCACAAGAGAATAATGAAGCAGGGAAGAGGGACGGTCCTAAAATTTTGCCTGAAACACACATACAGCAGGTAAGCCACAAACAGGACTTCTCCTCCCCCCCACCTTAGGCTGACTTTCGTTTGGAAGGAAAAGGCCCTTTCCCCAGTACAAAGCATGGCCCATCCTTCAAATAGGAAACGTTCATTTTTTTCAAATAAATTCGCTTGGGGGAATTTGTACAGATTTAGTTCGCACTGAAAAGATGGGGTCACAAGTTTTTGTATGTGTACGTTTCACACTGCTCATCCCCCCACCCCCACTCCTATCCCATCTTCCTTCTTCCCCTCCTTCCCACTGTTTCCCATTGGATTTATTCTCTCTCTCTTATCTTGCTATCCTGGAAGGGATGTGTGACAGAAGCAAAGCTGATGTGCTTGTGCAATAATTTTGTGAGTACTGGAGGAGCCAGGCATTTCCCCATGCCTATAGATGTGTCCGCAGAGCAGCCTGTCAGATTCCAACAAATCTGCAAATTCTGCTAAACACCTTGACACAAGGACATGAAAAAGGAAAAATGAAGGTAACTATCTAATGGTCTGCTAAAATGTAATTTGTTCTGAGGGAAGATAGGTGATCATGGGGTGATGACTTTGACTTCTGACCTACAAAGAGATGGGGAGATGGAATTTAGCCCTGGAAAAAAGCTATGGATAAGCCACATACTGTGCTGCAGCAGAGGAATAGGTGTAAGGACTGTGCTTGTGAAACTTCAGTTGCCTATCCAGCCAGATGTGAAAGGACGAGTAGGCTACCAGTTGTCCCGTGGTTACTTTGACTATCACTTTCTCTTAATACTCCTCTGGTAGTTTTTCCATAAACTGAGACAGCTTCTCTCATTTTGAGTGGTTCTATTTAGAGAGGAAGGTTTGGCAGTGAGCCGCACTTGTCTAGAGACTAGCAAAGGAACTAACTTTGGGTCTAAATGCATCAAGTTTGGGGCACCTGCCAATTAACTGGATCAAGCCCATGCCTGCCTCTGCGGTGCTCCACATGGGCCCACCCGGGGTCAGCCCATGCCATGCTCCTATTAACAGCTAATCAATAATAGTAAAAACTGAACACAAAGCAGTAGTAGAAGGTTCAGAGGAGCCGGCAGACTTTGCTGGGAATCCACCCGTCTGCCACATGCAGCCAGAAGGAATAGGGAGATTGTCATACTGTGTTCTTTATGCCCAAAGGCACAGCTGCTGCCCCAATGGACAATGATGCTTCAAATAATCTAATCTTTTGCACATCCCATCAAGAGTGGATTCTGTGTGGCCTGAAATCACTCAAAAAACACAGGTTCCCCATACAGTGCAGAGACTCAGGACAATCCCAAGGCTCCTGGATCCTTCCTACAAAAAAATAAAACCCCTTCTTATCAGAGGGAAATTCATCAGGATGAGATTCCATAGAGCAGAGTTGACAGAAGTACAAAGATTGTTCTCCCCACCTTCTGTGATGGACTGGAACTGACAGGTGCTGTGACACCATAAGAAGCTTGTACCCAAGAGGGCTGCAGAGGAGGTTCCTTGAGGAGAGGCCAGAAGGAGAGGAACAGGGACACAAAGGGAAAGATAAAATAATAGAGCAACATATTATCCATGTATTTCACCATTTGGTGGAGAGGATTTTTAATTATCTAATGATTTTAATCCCTTATCAGATGTTCATCTAAGAGGATTTTGCTGCACATACATGATTTGGTGCAAACTCATTTGCAATAAATATATTCGTTTAACAGACTTATTTTCTGGGCAGGCATTGATTTGTTCAAAGATCACTGACCAAGGAAGATGGCAAAACCTTCCTGCCTCCTCTTTATGATAGTCTGATGTGTCTCACTATAATTCACTGGTAGCTTAAAATTATAAGCTACACATAAAATTATAAACTACACATTAAAATTATAAGCTACACATAAAATTGTGTGTCTCACTATAATTCACTGGTAGAGGCCCATCATCCAGGCAGACGCCTTGCACCGTGCTTAACTTCACACAAGAAAACTCTGGCCCAGCTTGGAAGAGAGTGCAGAGTTCCTGGCTATTCAGCCGGTGCTTCAGTCACAAGAACGTCCTTTTCTGCAGTAAGGTGAGGAAAGATCACTTGCCCCACTGCACTAGCACTAGTGCAGACCCACTGATGGTAAACCAAACAGATGAAGTTCTACTGGAGGCAAGGTCTAAAGGCTTACACCGAACAGGCAGCAGAATTGGACTGGAATTCCACCAGAGGCTGAAGAAATATTCCCAGATAGCAAGTGCTTTGTTCACATGCTGCCACCTCATTCCAAAGAGCACCAAGAAACCCTTTGAAAGTAGGACTCACAATAGTCCTACACACCTCTCCAGCAGGCCTAGAGATGGAGTGAAAAATGCAGCTAAGGAAGCATTCATCTCTGTGCCCTTGTCCACAATCCTCCAAATGGCCACATTAGGGCAAGATAATACTGAATATGCACTCCAACTCTTTGTCCTTTCCAAAGGCATTAGACTCACAAGCCTGGAAGATCATGGTAGGAGAGAGAATGCCTTTGGATTCTTACAGGAGACAGAAGGCCCTGCTGCCACCTCTCCAACCACAGGAAAAAAGGACGACAGCATTAAAAACAGTTTCAGCTGCCTTTAAAATAATGCCTGTGGAGGTGCATGGAGAAGCAATTGCACTGATGATGAATTGGATGAGAGCACACGTGAGGCTGCCTGCCTGAGACATGGAAATGAGGCAGGATTGCAGCAGCTCGTTAAATCAGACGGTAACACCCTGCTTGCCACATCTCAGAGCCACAGCACGCACAAGACAGTAAATCTACTTTTCCAGGGACTGAGTAAAAATTGACTAAGACTAAAACATGCTCTCTAGTTGACTAAATTTGCCATGGAAGATGTTACCCAGTAACGACAGTGTAAATTACAGCCTAATATTAGAGGACAAACCATGCAGCTAAAACCTCTGTAATTTTCAAGCTAGGTTTTCAGAAGGTAACTGGAATAAAAACCAGGATGAAATTTCTTAGACTTACAAGGCTCAGTTTACAGAGGGAATTCACACAGTTTATGGTGTGAATCCGAGTCCTTATATTCACTGCACGGTGAACTCTGCACTGCGTAAGCGTGCGAGACAGTGTGGGGGGGACATATCTTCCAACTATTGTTCAATTAAATGCAGCAGTTCCTGACTGTTTCTTACAGTGAATTTAGAACTGATGCCATTTGTTTAATGCAGGGACAGCTGAATTTCACAGACTTCCTGTGCCTCAGGTTCCCCTTTACCAGCAGTGTGATTTCAGCTTGTGTCATAATATCCAAGTGCTTCACAGTCTTCATTACCCACTGTTTCAATTAAAAATCAACCCTGAATATAAGTAAACACCATATTTTCAGGTTCAATTTTAGGAAAAAATAACTTACTCCTGAACATAAGTTGGTAAAAATCTTGAACTCCTATTACCCTTATAAAATCCCAAGGGAGAATCAAATAAGCAAGGAAAGGACCAAAGAGTTAAACGCACTAAAGATATTCAAATAAAAACTGCACTTAAGAAAAAAAAAATTAGACTTGATATTTCTATTGCATGCACAAAAATACTACAAGACCAAAAGTCAAGACTAGTAAAGGAACTGATTACAGGTCAGTCTTGTGTATAAACTGAGTATGATGATTATGGTTCTTTTGGAGGGAAAAAATGTAGACCTCTAATCTGAGCAATTCAGTACATTTATTTTCACTATGCCCTATGTCAGGGGTGGGCAAAATACAGCCCGTGGGCTGGATGTGGCCCATGGTGGGATTTTGTGTGGGATAGCTCTGCAGCTGGACTGCTTTTCCAGGCAGCTCAGGTGTTGGTGACTCCTTCCAGCTGCCGCCACTGCTGGCCCAACCCGGCACTGGCCCAACCACTAATGGGGACCCTCACACACAGCCCTGAGCCTGGTCCACTCCAGGCTCAGCCTGGCAGAGTGGACCAGCTCCAGACCAGCCAGAACCCATGTACACAACCCCGATCCTGGTCCACCCTGCACGTGCTCCAGACTTGCCCGCCCACGCTGAGCAGCAGCGGTGGCGGCAGCAGTAGCCAGGCAGAAGCTGCTGCTCAGCATAGGGCAAAAGTGGCCTCTCCCCATCACTGCTACTGGGTGCTTCTCACTGCAGCTGTCCAGAGCCCACACCTGGGCTGCCCTACGGCTCCTCTGAATTGCCACCGCTGCTCCACTGGGTAGCCCGGAGGTGGCAGTGATGGCAGTGGAAAGGAGCCACAGGGCAGCCCGTGCATGGACTCTGGGTAGCCACAGGAAGAAGCGCCCAGCAGCAGTGAGGGGGAGGGGCACTTTTTCCCCATGCTGAGCAGCAGCTTCTGCTCGGCCACCACCACTGCTCAGCGTAGGCAGGCGGATCGGAGCAGGTGTGAGATGGGCTGGGGTCATGACTGTGTGCGTGGGTTTCAGCTAGTCTGCTTCAGCTGGGACAAGTCAGGAGTGGGCACGGCGTGGGCTGGGTTGGGGCTGGGGCTGTGTGCTCCTGGGAGTGGCGGGAAAGAGCCAAAGGGGACACAGACTCAGGCTGTTGTGGGAGCGGAGCATGCTTACTGGCCCGCACCAGCTCCTCAGAGCTACCTATGTAGCCCGCAGGCCCAATTAATTACCCACACTTGCCCTTATGTGGTAAGGATATATACTGTGCGGGATGGAAAAACAAAGACCCATAGTGACTAAGGACATATGTCCAGGTTTCAGCCCACGCTTCAAGAAATATGTGGACAGATAGAAAGGCTAAGTATAGACAGTCAAAATGCCTGAGGCTGAATCGATTCAATCTTTGCAGGTTAGTTTAACCTGAGTAATTAGAATCGATGAGCAAGTGAACGTTCACTTTTGATTCTGGAAATGCAGCCACATACGTGCAGTGGCCTAGGCTAGAAGATAGGAGGTGCTAGAGCGCATCCCTGCTTGGCTGGAGCAGACAGTTTGGGTCAAGGCTAGCCTGCCCACCCTACAAGGAGGTGGTTTGCAGGGGAGGTGCAAAGCATCCTGGGAAGCTGAGGGACTGTGAGCTAACTTGAATCTGGAGGGGATTTGGGTGAATAAACTGATTTAACCTAAATCAGTTAAGTCTGATACTACATCCATCCAGGTTTATCTTAAACTGGTTTCAGCCATTTTGAAAGTGGTTTATGTGCACTGAACTTCTGTTCTGTTACAGATTTGAACTGGTTTCTGATCACTTATACTGGTTTATGTGTAATTTCTGTCCCTAGCTGAAGTGTCCAGTGGAAACCAACAAAAATGATGAAAGGCCTGGGAACCCTGATTTATAAGGAGAAGTCGAAAGAACAAGGATTATTTAGTCTGGAAAAGAGAAGACTGAGGATGAATTTGATAAACAGTCTTCAAATTAGGGGTGCACCAATAAAAATTTTTAGGGCCAATACCGATAGGCGATATTTAAGGAGTCATATCAGCCGATGTTGATCCAATTTCAGATACAGCTGCCTCCAGCTGGTAAATCCAGTGTGGTGGAAGGATAGCAGGGAGAAAAAAGGCGGGGAGGGGGGGGTGCCTCCTGCATCTGTGTGGGGTGGGGCTGCATGGGGCTCTTCTTGGTGGGGGTTGGGCTCAGAGCAGGTGCCAGCAGCACTGGGAGGATGCTGCATCCACCCCAAATTCTGCCGCCGCTCCACTCCCAGCACTGCCACCAGCAGCCACCTGGCATAGCTCCAGCTCAATGCCCAGCCTCCACCCACGCGCCAGGAAGAGCTGAGGCTACGCTGGGTGGCTGGCGGCAGCAGTGCTGGGAGCAGAGTTGTGGCGAAATCTGGGGTGGATGCAGCCTCCTTCCCGCACCTCTGGCACCCGCTCTGAGCCTACCCCCACCAAGGAGAGCCTTGTGCAACCCCGGCTACAGCCCACCCTGTCCTGCCCTGCGCAGATCCGGGGGGCCCACTCCTCTCCCCTGTGCCCTCCCAGGGTGCAAACAGCAGCAGGAGCTGCCTCCTCCCGCATGAGCCATGGCTTCACCCCACCAGCCCCGCCTGGGCAGCGCCTGCCCCTGTCCCTGCCCCCTCCCTCACTGTGGGGGTGGGGGGGCGGGGAACGACACATTGCTCTGTCCCTTCACACCCCTTCCCTCCCCTCTCCCCTTCCACCACGTCGGACCTGCCAGCTAGAGATAGCTCTCCACGCTAGCTGCGCACAGCACAGGCATTTATAGGTCAAATTATTGGCCCAATATCCAATACAGCCAGAATTCTTTAAATTGGTACCAATCCAATATTGGATCGATGTATCGGTGCACCTCTACTTCAAATACCAGAAGAGCAATTATAAAGAGGATGGAGACAGACTTCCCTGTGGCCATAGGGAACAGGACTAAGTGCAACGGCCTCAAACTATATCAGAAGAAATTTAGGTTGGGAGAGATTTTTCACTATAAGGGTGATTAAACAATGGAACAGCCCACCCAAAAAAGTATCAGAATATCTACTCCTGGAATTTTTCAACAGCAGATTAGACAGACATTTGACTGGGATGGTTTAGTCACAGATGATCATGCCTTGAGCAGGGGGCTGAACCAGATGACCTGTTAAGGTACTTTCCAACCCTATTTTCCTATGATCCTGTTCCTATTCCTATCTACAGTGCCTCCATGGCAAGACAAGAAACTAAGCCATGCCACAAGAAACTAAGCTCATCCCATCCATTTCCACTCAATGCAATCTAAGCGCAGAAGTGAGGCAATGAGTATGCCCCCCACTCTTGGGATCTCTGTCTCCAATGTGCTTGAGAATGGCAGTAGGGGCCGCTCTTGGGGCAAATCATTTGAACATGTTAACTAGTTATGGCATCTTACATTTAATACTTGTTACATGAAACTAAAAGGGTTAGCAAACCCCAAGTCCAGAGAATAAAACGTGTTGATGTCCATTGTGCAATGCACCTACACAGACTTTGATTTTATGTTTTGTAGGATGTATTTGATACATTCAGTAGAATGATGCTATTTCATTCCTCATGTCTTAAAGACATTCTGAAAACACAATGTTTGCTTCTATTCTTTCTTCAGTATCTGCATACACAGTAAAGATAGGTTTTTGCTTTGCGAGAGATGACTCCCAGGAAACCTCTTGGGGAAGCTGTGAAAGTTGTCTCACCTTTATGTTTGCTTTTTAGGTCTTAATCTATCCCTAACAATTATGGCATAGGAGACAATAGCAGAGTGGGACAAAATTGTCCCCCATCTCAGTTGTATGACCAAGGACGGGCAAGGGGGACACCAGCTCTGGGTGCTGACTTAGGAGAGGCACCAAAACTGTCCCACACCCCAGCAGCAACAGCAGCCCTCCAGCATTGTTGCCGCAGCAGCAGCCAGTGCACAGACACCGCACTGCTGCTGCTTTAAGGGCAAGAGCCAGGGTAAGGAGAAAACATGGTGGTGGCATCAGTAGTAGGAGCAGCAGCAGCTGCCACCGCCACTGCAGCTGCTATCACCATAGACCTTTTTTTGGTCTCCCCATTACCCCAAGCCTACTCCTGGAACCTTTATTTTTCCCCACGGCCCCCCAGCTCCTTGCATAGTTTGCCTAGGCCACAAACCCTGCTCGTCACTGCCACATCTGCTCAGAATCTCTCACTTTCTAAAGTATCTAGTTCTGGCCCTTCTCATGAGATAGGAATTGCCATACTGGATCAAACCTATGTGACTATTTAAAGAGGGAGCTAAGCCACATAAAGATGAAGGGCCTGAAGCAGAAGTACAACCCACATCTCCTGGCCAGATGACCTGTTGAGGTACTTTCCAACCCTATTTTCCTATGATCCTGTTCCTATTCCTATCTACAGTGCTTCCATGGCAAGACTGCAATCAAAAACTAAGCCCATCCCATCCACTTCCACTCAATGCAATCATCTCCTTTAGTCTTACATGCGAAACCATCCCTCCTCCCTTTGGTATATAGTAGTGCACAGAGAGTAACAGGCAGTCTCTGGAGTCTTAAGTTCAGCATGTTAAAGATGGTCTCCAACAAGCTGAAGACATATGTATCTTCCTAGTACCAAATACATAAATAAATAAACTAACAACTACAGCAACAACACATCCTGCCAACAACATTCTGGTGGAGCCCATGCACAACACACACACTCACCGTTGTGACATATTACACATGCCATGGCACTTTCGTTTCCAAGCTGATGGAAAGCAGAGTGCCAGCATATTCCATTACCTTTTCTGTTTAGCAAGAATTAGTTACAGACAAAATCCAAACTCCCTCTGGGAGTCTACAAGAAAAGTCCTATGCAAGGAAGCAGAGCCAAGGTAGGTCAGTTCCTTGGCTCAAAATGATCCCTTCAAAAAATAAAAAAAAAGAGCAACCTCCCAGAGTATTAAATGTAGCTAGAGGATCATTGTTGCCTCTGGAATCCATTCAGAATTGAAGCCAAGTCAATACTCCAATCATTCATACAACTGCCCAGCCTCGCACTACTGTGAATAGGCTAAACAATCCCAAACGGAATGGGTATCTCAAACACATAACCAGACTTAGACCAGGATCTGGCAAACAACCCCTCTAGCAATGTTAGAGACCAAACCCACAGCCTGAATTCAAACACACACATACTCCTGCATCCAGGGACTGCAGCTTGGAACCTCCTCTTGCCTGTACAGACCCACCCAGCATATGCAGGCAAAGCTACACGTGTGCACATCTAGCAAATGTATTGCCCCCCCATTTTCCAAAAGAAAAAGCATGCCAAGCATAGAGAGGGGAGGAGCAAGCCAGGCTGATTTAGATGATTTCACTTTGCAATTTACTGTGTTCTTTTTAAGTCGCTTATCCATTTCAGTGCTCAATATTCGGCTCTTT